CTTCATAGTTCTTTCACACAGGCTTGGCTTTCAAGAGGTTTCTTTCTCTTTTCCTGCCCTTTTTTCTCCTCTGAACTGTAAATTAAGTTTTTTCTCTGTTAATTCAGTCTGATATTGTTTTATTCATGTATTACTATTACCATCTTCTTAAAGCCTTGGAACATGGAAAAGTTTTAAACTTTTGCTTCCAAACCAGAAGATATTGCTTCATCATGAATCTGGTATAAGAATTTCACTTGAAATATCATCTGGGTATGATTGAGATATATATATATATATATATATATGTTTATAGGAGAAGGTCTTTTTCTACATCAATTTTTTTAAGGCAGAAAAGCCGGCTTTTGTTTTATTGATAGTGCGGATATGTAGTATGCTTCTTTGTTCTTCTTATTAGATGACTGTTTTCTTAACGTTTGCTTCAATTTTGGACACTGATTATGTCCCTTTTTGGTAATGTTTCTAAGGAGTTTGATTTAATTACCGCCGTTAAGGCTCTGGTTCTGAGCTTCAGAAGTCACAATGGACAACAAGATGATGGGGATGAGCTTCAACAGATTCAAGACATGCTCTGCTTTATTTGCCATAGCTTTCACTGTACTGGTCATAATTACATTAACGTATCAGAACTCAATGTTTTATCTTTCTGAGGGTTTTTCAAAAGACAAGATACTACGAAGAAGACCTCACAATGTTACGACTATGGACTTGGGATTCAGAGAGAGTGCAAAAAACACATCAGACATGAATGGAACCTCCTCAGAGGTACCTACAATGCCTATTTTCTTCAGATTGTTTGGTTTTTTTTTCACTGTTTGATCCAAGTTCACACTCTTTATCTTTAATGAACTTGTAAAAGTCAAGGTTTCCACAGGAGGAGCTCAGTACTACAGCAACAGAAGATGGAGCTCAGAATCTTACAGGGTCAGATGAAGGTAATGGCATTTTTTCCCAGACAAAATCAATCTGTCAGCGATCAGAGTTTTCTTCCTCCACTTGCTATAAATTTTATAAGTTCCTTCAAAATTTATAGGATTCAAAAAAGCTTCAATCTCACATATCAAAAGTAATGGCACTGAGCAATTGTATGAAGGGCTTCTAGCTTCTGGGTTTGATAAATCATCATGCATAAGCAGGTTTCAGTCTTACTTGTACCGATACAGAAAAGCTTCTTCTCCTCACAAACCCTCTTCATATCTGATCTCCAAATTACGCAATTATGAAGAAATTCACAGAAAGTGTGGACCTGGCACCAGACATTACAACGGAACCATGAAAAAGCTCGCAAGGTTTAAGAAACAAAGTACTAATACCACGTGTAAGTACCTTGTTTGGACTCCTGCAAATGGCTTAGGGAACAGAATCATAAGCATGGCTGCTGCATTTGTTTATGCTTTACTTACAGATAGAGTTCTGCTTGTGAAATTTGAAGATGATATGATGGGTCTGTTCTGTGAGCCATTTCTAAACTCAACTTGGCTATTTCCAAAGGATTCCCCGTTTTGGAATCCAAGAGGTGTTGAAACATATCAGAGCATGTTAGCTAAGAACAGTTCACCTTCTGTTCTGCATCTGAATCTCCAGCACTCCAAAGAGGATCCTGAGAAGTTTTTCCATTGTGATCATAGCCAAAAGCTTGTTCGAAAAGTTCCCTTCTTGATTTTGCTGACAGATCAGTATTTTGTTCCTTCTCTGTTCATGATCCCATCTTTTAACCTTGAGATGACACAAATGTTCCCAGAAAGGGACACCGTTTTTCACCATGTGGGACATTACCTTTTTCACCCTTCAAATGAAGCATGGGGACTAATAAGCAGATTCTATGATGCATACTTAGCAAAATCAGATGAGAAAATTGGCCTTCAAATCAGACTCTTCTCTCCTCATTCCACCCCACATGAAGCAGTTATGGACCTACTCTTAAGTTGTACCTTGCAGCACAAGTTACTCCCAGAATTAGACACAAAAAATTCAGTAGATTCAACCCAAGAAAACTCGAGCTTGAAGGCTGTTCTAGTGGCATCTCTATTTCCAGAATATGGTGAGAATTTGAAAACTATGTATCTGAGGAAGCCAACCATTACAGGAGAATTGGTTGGAGTATATCAACCAAGTCATGAAGGGCATCAAAAGTTTCATAACAATATGCATAACATGAAGGCATGGACAGAAATGTACCTCTTGAGTCTGTGTGATAAGTTGGTGACTACCTCCCTGTCTACTTTTGGGTATGTGGCTCAAGGTTTGGGAGGATTAAAGCCATGGCTTCTTTATAGGCTAGTTGGAAATAGGACTCTGCATCCTAATCCACCTTGTCAGAGGGACTTCTCTATGGAGCCTTGTTATCATATTCCTCCTAAGCATGACTGTGAGGGGAACAGTATCAAACATTTTACTTCTTCTTTCCCGTACATGAGGTCATGTGTGGATTATTCCTCTGGAGTAAAGTTGGTTAATGTTTCCATCTAGCAACTATGCATCAAAAAAAAAAAAATCTCATTATCAGTCAATTAGTTATCACTATTCATGAAATTTTGTCTACTCAATATTTAAGTTGTATTGAATTAATAGATTTGAATTTTAACCAGAAAGTGGATTTTTGTAAAAATAGTTTTTCTTCATGAATGACGTGGTGTTTATTGAAAAGAAAATGATAAAAAATTGTCTAAAATGGCTCAAACATATGTAAAGAATGCTGGTGAGGAATATAAATTAGAGAGTATAAGGTCTTCTAAAATATGTCAGGATAAAGAAAGACCGAAGAGAACACTCAATCAAATTATTAAATAAAACCTTTAGGTTAATATTTTATTTAAATATTTAATTATTTATAGAACAATGATGTCATATAATTCATATAGTCAACTCAACCTGGTCGGATAAGACTTTTGTTGTTCTAGTTTTTTTATCAGTGAAATTGCTTATACTTTTATAAGGATGTGTGATTGTTTATTGTGCCACAAATGCTAGACTATGAGATGATCAAATGTCATTCTCAATTAAGAGATTGGACCACTTAGTAGTGTATATGATAACTTAATTAAACATATACCTTACTTCTCAAGCTACCATATTTCTTCGAAAATAAGAGAAGTGTTTTGTAAAGGTTATACATTATTATTGGGACAAAGACGCCCCTTACATGATTTGCATCATTATTTGTTTTGGCAGTCAAAGTGCTTTATAACATTACTGAACATTTTTAGAACATTATAAAATAAGGAGAGAAAAAAATAACACTTCAATTTTATTCACAAACCAACACCTGTACATGCTCTCAATATACTGTCCTGTCATATCTGTGTACTAATATTAATTATTCAATTTAAACTATTTTTATTAGTGATAAAAAAAAATGACATTCTTAGCTTATTGTGTATGTGGAACTTCTCACCGCATAAGCCAACTATCCCTAAAACTCTCATTAGTCAAAAGTGATTTGGGCCCCTCCCTTCACTTCCCTCCTTATTCTAATCCTAGATTATGTCTTAGGATTACGGACGCGCTTAATCTTTGATTTAAATTTAAAAAAAAATTATTTAATTATCAATTCGAATCAAATAAAAAATTTATTAATTTTTTTATATGATTTGATGGAACTCAAGTCACAGCTTCAGGTTGTTAAATAAAAGTCAAATCCAGAAAAGCATGAGTAGATTCCGCCGTTGATGACATTTGGCTGAATTCTTGTTCTTGTTTATTATATAGACACCACTCACATAACCCACTTGCATAAACTCTTATTGGTCTATTTAATTTTAATATAAACATTTGTACATATAATATACTCAATAATTTTCTTATAAGAAACAGTAACCACAGATTAAGGAAAATAGGATTAAACAAAAGAAATAACTAATACTCCTCCGGTCTTTAATATAAGATCTAATTAATTAATTGGATTAGATGAAGGAAGTTAGGTAAGTAAGTTAATTATAAAAAATATGACATGTTTCTCCTAAAATATCATAATCATCTTTCTTAATATCCTCCCTCCCTCACTTAATTGATTATGGTTGAGGGAGTATCCATAAAGGTAATTTAAAAAAAAAATTGATAATTGAGAAATAGGTCTTATATTTAGAACTAAAATTAACTTAACAATTAAGTCTTATAATAAGGACCGGGGGAGTAATAAATAACAGTAAATTTTGGCTTTAAAAAATATTTTGCGGGTGCCTCTACTTTCCTTGAAGTTGTAATTTAGCAATTGTAACTTTTTTCTCTTGACAACAAATCCTTTAATTTTACTTAATAATGTTAGTTCTTGTAATTTTACTTTGTTAACAATGTTCCGTTGACATTTTTAGCCCTCATACAGGGGCTAACAGTGCTAACAGAGCAAAATTAAAGGATTTAATCAAGAAAAAAAAAGAAAATAAGAATTTGGCCAAAAAAAATTAGTATCAAATTAAAAATTGTGTGAAAATATAGGTTAAATTAAAGGGAAAGTATATGGACCTACAAAATATTTTTCCTTTTTTGCTAATAAGAAATAGTCTAATTGATAGTTGTACGCGTATTCAGTTTCTCATTATAGATTATTAAAACCATAATTTGAATATAAGCATGTATTTTAAAGTGAAAGTAGAAACATTCTATTCCTTAAGGGTATGATTTTAAATCTCATTATTTATGTGAAAACTTTGTTAATAATAATTATCTTTATAAAGGCTCTTAAAACCATGAAGTCAACTTTCGTCTTTTCATCTCCCATGACCCAATTCACTTAAAAAGAAAGAAAGAAGATGTGATCTTTGTCAAACACATAATCTTATTTTCCAAAAATAAATTTAGAATTCCATAAATTCAGAAGAAAAGACTTGGGTTTAATCACTTTCTTAAATGAATCATGATTGAATTCAACTGCTTTGTTTATATAAATCATGAAAGCAACCAAATTTGGATACGTGGGACATAAGATAGACATGAATCAGACAAAACCAGAAGGCTCATCTGCAAGTTCTTCATTTACTTTTCCTTCTTCAATTCCTGTAAATAAGATCTCAAATCTAAGACCCTTTTGAGTTTCAGAAGAAGAATCCACCTCCGACATGACTTCAAGATCATTCCCTCCTACTACAGATCACCATTTTTTCACCAAATACAAGGTCCTTTTCCTGGCTCTCACCATCTCAGCGTCTCTAGTCATTTTCTGCACAATATTTTACTTCCTTTACCATCTATGGTACTCCGTTGTACACAGAGCTAAAACGATCCCGTTTGATGCAAATTCTCCCTTGAAACTCCGAAGATTTTCATACAAAGAGCTCAAGCAAGCAACTAATGGCTTTCACACTGAAAATGTAATTGGCAAAGGCGGGTCTAGCACAGTCTTTAAAGGAAAGCTTAACGATGGGAAATCAATTGCTATTAAGCGTCTAGATGCTTTGTGTATACAAACACAGCAAGAGTTTCAGAATGAGCTCCAGATTCTTGGTGGGTTAACGTCCCCTTTCGTTGTCACCCTTCTGGGATATTGTATGGAGAAGAACAAGAGAGCTTTGGTGTTTGAATATATGCCTAAGAGAAGCTTGCAGGAGTCTCTCTTTGGAGATGAACGCTGTTTGAGTTTAAGCTGGGAGAGGAGGTTTCTTGTAATATTGGATGTTGCTAAAGCTTTGGAATTCCTTCACCTTGATTGTGACCCTCCAGTGATTCATGGGGATATTAAACCAAGCAATGTTCTGCTTGATGAAGAGCACCATGCAAAGATTTCAGATTTCGGATTGTCAAGGATTAAAGTGGAGGAGGGTGAGTTTGATGGGAATATGTTTAGCCAGGACTTGGGTGATAAGAGTCAGGAGCTATGGAAGAGCCAAGAGTTTTCAGGTAATTTAACTGCTGGAAGCCCAGCTGCAGATGAGCGTGTTAATGAAGTAGATTTTGCCCTAGCTTTGCAGGCATCTTCTTCATCCAAGTATAGTAGGGTAGGTCTTAATGTTGGAGCTCTGAACTTGAATTCTTTGAATTATAATGCCTACATAAGTGAAAGTGAAGCAAGGACAACTAGTGTCAAGGGGAAGGAAATCTTGAGTTTCGATATTGGTGGGGATGATCGGAGGAACGAGTTTGTTCCTTGTGATGATGATTTTTCCAATATTGATCATAGCAAAGAGTTAAATGTTAATGCTTCCTCAGTAGATAAAGAAAAGCCAAGTGAAAAACAACGGGGAAAAGATTGGTGGTGGAGACAGGATGAAAGTGCAGAATTATGCAGTAAAGATTATGTCATGGAGTGGATAGGGAGTCAGATTCATCCATCAAACACTGATTGGGATGAAGAAAAGAACATTCATGAAGAAACAGAACTGGGAAATAAAAGTCCAACAGATAAAATAGATGATGTACATGGACCTCAATTTCAAGCAATGGGGACAAAAGATGCTGACAATGGTGCAGATGAGAACAAAGAATCAGTGGAAAAGAAACATCATGAGAAGCATAGGAAGATGCAAGAGCTGTGGAAAGAAGAGAATCTTGGAGAATCAAGCAAGAACAATGGCAACCTGAAAAATCTTCAAACAAAGTGGAAGCAAGGGTTTAAAGTACCACATTTTGGTTTGGATAGGAAGTTTTATCTCTGCAGATGTCGGAAATTCCAAAGGGAGGATCAGAATGACTATCATCAAAATGGGGAATTTAGTTTCAGAAAAGGTTGGAGGAAGAAAGGAAATAGTCCCTCGATTGACAGCGAGATCATGCGAAGTGGAGATCTTTTCAGCAGCACAACCAGCATGAGAGGAACCCTGAGTTATGCTGCTCCAGAATATGGTGGTTGTGAGGGGTTCTCAGTGGAGAAAACTGACATTTACAGTTTTGGAGTATTGATCCTTGTGATTGTTTCAGGAAGAAGACCATTACAAGTTCTTCCATCCTCATTGAAGCTTGAGAAAGCTAATTTAGTAAGCTGGTGCAAGCAATTGGCACAATCTGGCAACATTTTAGAACTTGCAGACGAGAGGTTGAGAGAAGATTATAACAAGGAGCAAGCAAGCTTGTGCATCAACATTGCACTTTCTTGCTTACAGAAAAATCCAGAATTAAGACCAGACATTGGGGATATTGTTAAGATTCTAAAGGGGGATATGAATCTACCACCAATTCCATTTGAGTTCTCTCCATCTCCACCTTTTAGACTGTACAGAAAATCATGAAGAACACAGAAAGGTACTGCAGAATAGCTTTTTTGTTGTTAATATTTCCTTATTAGGCATTATTTTATTGTTTGTTTCATATTGTGCTGAGCATGAATGATTGAATATTTGAATACACCTGCAGTGTGAAATATATGTTGTATGTATGTTTGGTAACTTTCTTGGTGCTCTTTATAATGGTTTGGGGTACATGATGATATTGATGGTACAGTCACTTTTGTCCTGTGTGTTTGTTGACTGGTCGTGGATATGGGCCACACAAGCCGAAGTCACAGACTGAAGACAGAACATTATTAACATGAGTGATATTTCTTTTGGGATTTATTTAGAATCTAATGTTATTTTTTTTGGGACAAAAAAAAAAAAAGAATCTAATGTCATTATATCTGTATCGAGCATTGTTGAACCTCACTGTAGATATCTCTTCCATAGCTTTTTCTTTTCATTTGCATGATTCAAGCCATCAACTTTGCATCCCGAAAATCAAGTCTATTTTACTCACCTTTTCCACCATTAGTTGCAAGAGTACTACTTTTGTGTGGAGGTGGTAATGCAGGCTGGCAGTGCGGATACGGGCCAGCCCGCACCTTGGCAGGCTGGCATTTTGCCAGCCCGAGCCCTCCAAGGCGGTTTGGCAGGCTAGCCCGCCAGTCCGCCTCAATATTCTTTTTTTTAATAAAAAATATTATTATTAGTATAAGTTGAATTTAATTTGAAATGTTAAAATTAGACTTTGAATCTTGAATTTGAATAGTGAGTTATAATAAAATAAAGTGAAGATTAATTTATAATTTAAGAAGATATTTTTAAAAACTAATATAGTTTTTATAAATAATTAATTTAACTAGTTTTCTTATTCAAAGTAATTTAGTTTTCTTATCCAAATTAATTAAGTAGATACTTTATGTATAAATGTATAAGTATCACATGTTTATTTAATTTTATAAAGGCTTTTATAGTGACACAACAAGTAAATAAAAAATAAAAGATGGACGACGATCTTCGTATAACTACACATCGAATCATGAATATATAAAATGTTTAATTACTTATGCAATGATATGAAAGAAACAATGTTTAATTATTCATGTGAAATTTGAAGGTTAAAATATTTTAACTATATTAGGAATTATATGAAAAATTTAAAAAAAAAAAAAAAAAAAACCAGGCCAGCCCGCCAGCCGCGGGCTCAAAACAATGCGGGCTGGCATATTGCCAACCCGAGCCTGCCCTTTTTGGCGGGCTGACAGGCGGACCCAACCCGTATTACCAGCTCTTTTGTGGCATGATGTTTGGGTCATTATGTTGTTCTCGTATTTATCTGCATAAAATTATATCCAGTATCCCAATTTTTTTATAATGCACACAACACCCTTTTTTTTTTTAATGCATCCAGTACCATTCTCAATGTTTTTTTTTTTTTTCAATTACATCCAACGTCAAAGTCAAGATGCAAAAAAAAATATCGAGGTACTAGACGCAACATAAAAAAATCAGGATGTTAGATGCATAGATGCAAATGAGAGATCAAGATGTTAAATGTACCTTTATCCTTCTTTGTAATAAGACTGAATGAAATGCAAATTCCTCATTTTCTAATATTTGTCCTTTTAAATCCCAAAGACAAATCATTATCAAATCTCTCCAAGCCAGAAAATTCGGTGGTAAAAACAAACATCCGAGCATATTAAATCTCTTCAACTTAACATATTAATTATGTGGCAATCATATCATCTTGATGTGCCACAGTCCTTTCGAAAAAAATTACAATATCAGATCACATTGCTCGCAAAATTCTCGACTTCTTAATCTTAAATATTAAACAAAATAAATAAATCAAGTTAATTAAAAAGATAAATAAACATATCATATTTATCTTATATTGAAACTGACAGAATCGAAGTGTTATTGGCTTTCACATCAGTAACAACCGACAGAATCATTAGTCATCCTAGCCAGTATTGTTCCATGCATTACATTTTCTTTCATCTATTACTACTTACTAGTAATGTACTACTCATGGGATGCTCAGGTCATATAACTAAGTTTTATAATTTGACTTCAGTACGATATTTAAAACTTGTCAGCCATACTACATTTGCCTATGAAGGAGACAAGATCAAGCTAAAAGCATTATAATATTAGCTGGTTGTCATATTGTTATGCAGTTAATGACACATAAGATCTCTCATCTTACTTCAAGGTCGCAAGCACGGCCACGTGATTACATCAGAATCAATACATAAACTATAACTTCGTATAAAAACACCAGAATATTCTTTGTCAATTTCCCAGAAAGCATATATATTGCACACAAATGCCTCTCTGTCTTGATGTTTTTACTAAATTTAGAGTTCTTGAATCCAGTTCCATATGAATGTATAAGCATCATAAGCATATTTTTTCCTTGTGCATCTGAATAGACAGACAAGTATACCCCAGTTGGAAAAGACAACCTTCAGTGTTCACCAATCAGGCCACACCAAACTTAGTAAGTTTGTCTATTGCCTTAGAAAATGCGTAAAGAGCAAGAACCCAAGAAAAGAAAGAAAGAACAAAATGGGAATGGTAAAGGTTTGAAATTAATGTGGAGCCTCACAAGACAAAACCATGTCTAGAATGTCTTACAAGGAAAAGGAAATGAGAATAATGAATTATAAAACCCCAAAGAGGAACACATTTGCTAGATCCAACCAAATCCAAACCAAACCAAAGCAGAAGAAGACGTGAGCAGAGAAAACCAGGATCCCACAGAGAAAAGCATTGGAGCAGCAGAGGATGGGGTTGAGGAATGCTTAGCAGCAACAGCAGAAGCAGGAGGAGGAGGAAGAGGATGGACAAGAACAGAGACTTTCATGCCATTGAAGCATTGGCCATTGCCACAAATGAAGTAATACCTCTTTGCCTTATTAAGGGTTATGAAGTCTTTGCCTTTTGTCCAATTCCCAATAGCTCCATCCGTAGTGCAGTTGTCATACCCAGTTTGGTTCACCTCAAACACATTGTACTGGTTTTTCAGGTACCTGAATGCTACCCAAAACCAAAAAAATAAAATAAATAAAAAAACTTCTAAAGAGCCTGAAAGAAAGCAATGCATAGAGAAAAGTATAGCATAAACTTTAAGAAAAGTAGTTAGAAATACAATGAGAAGCTTCTTTTTCTCTTTTCAAATCAAACACATTATACTGGAGGTTTAGGTCTCTGAATGCTACAAACACATTGGCGGAAAAAGCGCCAGAAAAATTTCAAATTCCTAAAGAGAAAGAAATTATTGCTTAAAGAATAAGCTAAGCATATCAGAATCTTGAAGAACAGTAGCTAGAGAACTACAATAAAAAAGTTTCATTTTCTTTTCTTTTTCCCCAAAAATCAAACATAGTGGGTGTTTTGGAGCCTGAATTACATGGAAAACTTAAAAGCAGAATACTTAGTAAGTATCGCAGAAAGAGATCTTTCTTAGAGATGAAAGAAGAAGAAGCAGAAGCATAGCAGAAACCATCCTTACTAAATCCTTAAGCACATTAGCTGAGATAAAACTGGAAGGTTTCTTTCTTCTTACTCTTGTGGTTGGGAAGGAAAATGACTGGGATTCAAAAAAGGAAAGATACCCAAAAGGGAAAGTATCTGCAGATCTACGATGTAACAGCAAGGTATCTAACAAAAAGACACATCATTCGGCAGAAAGGTGAAGGAAACTAACAAATGAGGTCGCCGACATAGAAAGTCTGGTTGTTGGCCCAAAGGGTGTAGTTAATGCCAGGGTTCCAGCCACGGTTGGCACCAACGATGTGGTCGGTGGCGGAGACGGCGGAGAGGGAAGCAAGAACGAAGATGAGGGCCAACGACAGCTTCGCCACTTGGCTTGAGGGAGTGGTCATCCTCGGCAGCTAGCCTTCCTCCTTTCTCTGCTGGACGCCTCTATCTCCGACTATCTTCACTGCTCAACTCTCTCACTTGACTCCGTATAATTACTGCGACCCTGTTTCGGCCCCACACTCCCACAGCATGCTATTATTGCACCACTTTTTTATTTTTATTTTGTTTAACACTTCACTTACTAATAATTGGTCATGACTCATTACCCCCTCGTTACTATTTACAAGTTTTAGATTCAGAGAAATTAAGTTTTTATTTTGAAAATAATTTTTTATTTTAAAAAAAAGAAAAAAATTGTTTGGCAATTTGTTTTTAGTTTATTGTCTTAAAAAATAAAAAAACAATAATATGTTTTTAAAAACTGAAAAACCAAAACAACTTTTACATATTTTCTTGTTTTTGTTTTTATGTTTTTTTTTGTTTTGAAAAATTAGAGAAATCTTCTTCTCTTCTCCTCTACTATCTACTACTTATCATTACCAGTGATAACTATCACTTGTTAAAGTGTAATTTTTTATATTTTTTTCAAATGTAATTTTTTTGAAAATTATTTTTTAAACAAATTTTTTGTTTTTTTTCCAAAACTTGTTTTTAAAAACAATTTTATAAAATTGTTTTGAAAATAAGAAAACAAAGAACAAATACAAGCAGGCCCTAAATGTTTGAATTAGCTTTTTAAAAATATAATTTTACGGATTTAGAGATAAGTATATGAAAATAATTTTATTTTTAATTGAGTGAAAGCACTTACTTCTAATAGTTTTTAAAACTCATTTTATAAGTTTCAATTTAAATTTATCGTAACATTTAATATATTTTATTTTAATTTTGTTATTAGTTATTTCTTTTCTTTCTTTTGACATACTCTTTCTTATCGTGTTTTTCTATATATTCTTTTTTATTTTTTCTCATTTACTATAAGAACATATTTTAAAATAAAAATATTTTTCTGACCTATTTATTATTTTTAATTTATTTTAACTAATTTTTTATTGTCAGCAAATTAGTTATTTGAAAACTGTAATAAAGGACTACTAAATAAATATCATTACTGGATAATATTACTCTGTATTTTAATATAGGACTAATATTATTTTTAGTTTTTGAAATTTAACCTTGTTTTAATTTTAGTCCATAAAATTTAAATTCAGTGACTTGGATCCTGGAAATTGATCTTATTTTGGCATGTTAGTTTCTAAAACAGTGTTTTTGTTCTCTAAAACAAGATTTCAAAAACCAAAACTGCTAATTTCAAGTCTTAGGAACCAAAGCCAAAATTAAGTTAAATTTTATGTACTAAAACTGGTATTAAGCTTTTAATAATACCTCCTCGTTAAATTTATGGAGATTAAATTAGTTGTTTATGTAAATTTTTCCTCTTCTCAAAATCTACTAATAAATATTAAATTATTTATTAAGGATTAAAAAAATTTAATTCGGGGTATATCTAAAAATAGTTTGTAGAACTTTTTAAAGTTTCGAAAAGAAAGTCTTAAAAAAGGACGAAAGTTAGTGGATGGAAGTACTTCCTTTTCTTTGATGCAAACAAAACATAACTTTTTGAGACAACTAAAAAACAAAGAAGTTGAAATTTTATAAATACTAAATAAGAAAATTAATAAAAATTTATTGTCATTTACAAATTCATACATGTCAAATACCAAATAAAATTATATTACCAAACCTAATTTGAGATTTGCAATTTTCAGTTTCTTTTTCTGTCATTCTTCTTTTTTTTTTTTTTTTTTTTTTTTTTACCGGCACAAACAAAACATAGCTAGTCTCTTCATTTTGATTTATAAGATATTTTGGAGAGAACAATGTTTAATGTTTTATTAATGACATCATTATAAAATTACCCTTCATTAATTAAGTCTGAGTTAATCAAGAGTTGGTGTGTCAAGAGTCGTCTTGTTACCTCAACGGCGCACCAACACTCCCTTTAAAAATCTGAAATGGTGACATCAAACTCCCAAATGATATAGAGTAGGATGAGTAATTGTTGTGTGTGGGTCCCCCTTTCCGATATAGAATTAGATAAGATTGTCCAAACAAATTGGATTTAGGGGTTATTCCTCCTATTCTTAATATAAGACCCATTTAACTAATTTGATTAGATTAAAAAAGTTAGGTAAGTTGGTTAATTATAAGAAATGTGACATGTTTTTCCTAAAACATCATAATTATTTTTCTTAATACCCCTCCCCCTCTTCTACTTAATTATGTTTAAGGGAGTATTCATAAGATAATTTAAAGAAAATTAATAAATATGAGAAATAAGCCTTATATTTAGGACTAAAACTAACTCAATAATTATATCCTATATTAAGGACCAAAGGAGTATGTTAAATAAAAGGCATTTTTAAAAGTTTATAGCTCTTTTCCAAAGAAAACTTAGATTTCTTACCAAATGATGCTCAGTAGCCTTCACAATTTGTTTCCAAAACATTTTACAAATTAAAAAGGATAGAGTATTCACAGGAATTAAGAAAATGAGTTTCAGTTGGTTAAACTTAGTTGATTTTGTGAGTGTTTGGATAGAATCAAAATCATGGTTTTAAAAATGCTTTTACAATATACGAAGTAAATATGTGGAGGAGTTTATCTCGATTTGTTAAAAAATACTTTTCAAAAGCACTTCTGATACTTCCCAAACACCCTTTCCATCTCATATCAAAAAATTTTACAAAAGTACCCCTACCTAAATAATGTAGTGTCTACATATTATTTAATAAAGATTAACTTTGGCAAAAGAAAAATTAAGTCAACATTAGGTCATTGTTCCATTATATTTTAGATATCACAAGCTTAAAATATTTCATGTTAGTGTCATGTGACCCAATAACACTAAGCACCTTTATTATTGAACAAAGTTTATGTAGCGTCTACACATCATTTAATGATCCCTAAAATGCATTATGTAATCTTTCTCTGTATTAATAAATATTAATTTTGGCAAAAGAAAAATTAAGGCAACATTAGGTCATTGTTTCATAATATTTTAGATCATCACAAGCTTAAAATATTTCATGTCAGGGTATTTTGACCCGGTAACACTAAGTACCTTTTATTATTGATCAAAGTTTATGTCACTCGATTAGCAAACCCTTGATCCCATTGTATCTTCGTTGGGACAAACTAAGATAGATGAAAACTTAAAATTGAAAGATGCATAATGGTGATCAAAACCGAGCAGGAGCAAGCACAAAAAAAAAAAAAAGGGCAAACAGAAGTTGGTAGTAGTAAAAGAGAAAAGTGCACCACAAAATTGAACCTGCTTGGGAAAAAGAAAAAAATTTGAAACATGAGGGGGGAAAATGAAAAATTGAGATAAGGCGAAGATGAGGAAATATGAAACGGGGACAGAGGAAGAGGAGGAGGAAGGCTTGGGTATACCCGGTTTCGTTTTATAAGCACCCCTTGCTGTTATCAACAATTAAATAAAAGAAAGTTTTTATTTTTTATTTTTTATTTTTTTTATTAGAGACAATTCTATTTAAAATAATATGTAGCTGTAAATAAGTACTCCCTCCGTTCTTTATTATAAGAGACGAATAACCGAATTACCTTGATAAAAAAACAGTTAAAATTAGTTAAGAACAATCAATGTATAAGAAGTATATTTTTTCTCTAAAAATACCCTCATTAATAAGGAGAGAGAGTATGAGAGAGAACAATTAAATTATTAAAAGAAAGAGAAGTGGGAGGGAGGGAGAGTGTGAGTTGGAGACAATAAATATGAATAAAATAAGAAATCAACACAAAAAAGTTGAGACAACTTTTAAGTGTCTCTTATATATAGGAACATGCCATAAGCATCAAATGTCTCTTATAATAAGGAACGGAGGGAGTAGCAAGAACAATAATCATATAAATGCAATTATTTTGCATCATCCTGTTGCATTTACCGTTTTGAGTAAGGCAGGTGATGAAGGGACGATGAGAGAGATCCAAAAGAGATGAAGAGAAACTGAAGGAGAGTGGAAATGCATACTTGAATCAAATGCATGAAAAGGAAACAAATCCGTTTTGGTAATGAGAGATATATAGCGAGCCCGTCAGCGACTGCGAGCTAAATGAGACAAAGATGAAGAGTTAAAGAAAAAGGGTGGGATGCCTTTAGATGAAAAAGAAGAAATGAGGGCAAGAGACGAAAGAAGGAAAGGGAATGATGAGAGAATAAGAATAAGGAAATTTCCAAATTTGAAACTCAGATTTGCATAAATTTGCAGCAAGCCCTGTGCACGAGCCAACATTGTTTCGGATGCTGCTCCTATGAGCAGTGGAATGAGAAGAGCCACAATGAAAGTAACCTTGTACTATTTATTTTTGTTTATTGTTTAGGAAAATTTTTTAAAAAAAATGAATGTTGAATTTAAAATTTCATATAAGTATTGGTTACTATACTAAAAAGCAAATGACATCGATTTTTGTAGTAATTCCTCATTTAAAATTTTAAAATTCAATAATCATTTTTCTGGAATTTTTCTTTGATTAACTGATTTGTTTTGGGCCTTATGTTGATTAATTGATTGATTCTAAAGTTAACTGATTTATTTCTGCCAACGTTTTTTCCCCGACTGCTATTAAAAAGCAATTAATCAATATAACTAGAAATAGTCAGCTCAAAAAAAAAAAACTAGAAATAGAACTAATAACATATATTATATACTTTTTTGTGAAAATTAATTTTTAATAATCAAATGAAAAACTCTCAATAAACACGTTTCTTAAAATTTAAAATTGTGTTTGCTTTTTGATATAGGTGAAGTCACTAAGAGGAGTGCTTTTATTTCTTGGGAAAAAACGTTGGCAGAAATGTATCGGGGAAAAAACGGTTTAAAACTTTATAGAAAAGGGTTCAAGTGAGGAAGGAGCATCAGTCAGCTGCTGTGGCGAAGGAGGCGAGGGACACCGGAAGTTAAGGAAAGTCGCGTGAGCGAGAAAATGAGCGGCGACACGAAACCCAACAATGGTGGGAACGTCGGAGGCGGATTTAGGGCAAGGATGGATCACTATCTTTACAGTGGGGACAAGAAGCATGTCATGGTTGGCTTAGCTCTCATCACCGTCGTCTTCGGCGTCCCTTGGTACTACATGAGCAGAGGTTCGCTTCTTAACCCTCCCCCCAACGACCTTTAATCATCTTTTGGATCGTAATTTCATTTTTCATGGTTTGGAGGAAATCAATTTTGGAAGTTGTTTGTAGATGGATTTGAATCTTCCTTCATTTCACTTTTGAGGATTGGGACGATTGCCTAAAAAATGAATTTCATTGTTCTGTGACTCTGTTTCCTACTTGGAGACACTTCTACTCAGTTTTGGACTGAAATTTATCTATTATGATATCTTTGAGCTTGAATCTTCAGGACTATCTATTAACTTATTTGTTCTCTCTGTTAGGAGAAGCTAATTCCTTTTGGTTCATTTGGTATCTAGAAATGTGATATTGCCCTGTTGAGATTGAATTTTCGTCTTGTAATATTTCTTTTTCTTTCTACCCCCTTTCTCCTAGCATAATTGATGGGAATGTTATTACGTACAATTTCAAGGTGCCACAGATGGTACGAGAGATAGGGTTTAAAGGAAATCTTTTTATATGAATGAAACTCAAGGCAATGCTTTCGGTCTTTTGATATGCTAAGCATGCATGTATTTTGAAGTGTTAATCATTTTTAAGCTGCTAATTAGGATGAACCTTTGGCATGGAAGTAGAATTTTGAACTTTGCATTTGCAATCTAGATGCTTCAGTACTTGCACTTCTGGATTATCATTGCATAGATCGGTTCCAATTTTCTTGCATGTGAGGCATACTATGAGCATTGAGCATTCGTTCTGGGATTCATGATTCATGAATTAACAAAGTGTTGTTGCCTTGGGATTCATGATTCATGAATCAACAAAGTGCTGTTGCCTTCTTACCTTTTCAACTTGTAAGTGCAGTTAGTTAACGAATTTTATGTTTATCATATTAATTCGTAAAATAAATTTGATACCATATACCTTATAAATATAAGGTGCCCGTTTGATGCTAATTTTGAATTTTACTGCTCTTATTGTTCCATCACAAGACAGTCCTTGCCTAATATTTCCTCTGGGCTATCAACTGCTTTCTGTAGATTAAGTGTAAAATTTTTCTATGATTTTTCGTAATCATCCTTAATCAAATTGAGATGAAACAGATTATCAGAGTGGTGAAGAAAGGGAATTAAAATAGGTCATAAACATTTTATTAATTTGTAAAGGGTCTTGCTTAAGAACCGAGAATGGATCTTATAAATAGAATTTCTCACATGACAAAGGCAGAACTTAAATCAGTGTGAGATGATATTGGTACTATTGGCATCTTTTCATTTTTAAAAAAACCTTAAGTACATATGCAACCTAAAAACATACTTGCATGGAGCTGAAATGGATGATTCAGAAATTATATCCATCCAATATTTGCTGTGGTCTACTATAATTAATCGATTTAGGTATTGTGTATACAAATGATGCCATGGGGACCTGAAATTGTTAATTCTCAACATGCGTGATGCAGTTTACAAACCATAATACACTAGGCTTTTCTGTCAACACCCTACGATACACTTGCATCACTTATGAACCTTGCATTATAACCTAATTTGAACTGTATAGGTAAGTAGATTTTTTCCCCCCCTCAATAAAAGGAGGAACTAAGCCCGGTACAATAAGAAATAAAAAATTCTCTGGGGGAAGGAACCCCAAAACATGCCTGAAGGAGCACATCCCTAATGCAAATTGGGACATCTTTAAAGTAACAAAAGGAAATTTTGTTCTCAAAACCCTGGTGTCCAATCCATCAGCAGATTGGTTATATACTCTTGGAGTTGAGATGCCAATTCTTCCTCATAAACTGATAAATCTCAAAAATCGTTTAAAGAAAGCATCAGCGATATGTACTTTCAGTATAGGATGGTGTTGTGTGTGTGTGTGTGTGCGTGTGTGTGGTGTGTGTGTGTTTTTGTGCATGTGTCCGTGCATTGATTGCTGCATAGTGGTGCGTGCCTGTTATTCGAAGCTTCTCTCTTGCAAATTATGCAGTTGTTTCTAGTCCTTTTCTCTTAGTTACCACAATTTTGACGAACAAAGAAATATACTACTTGGACCCAGTCTATGAACTACACAAACTGTCTTGTCCTTAGCATGTACTTTCTACTCTTCATGTTTTAGCACTTTCTATAACAAATTAGACATTATGAACAATCATCTCTGAACCTTCACTGATGTTTTCTTTACCTTGTTATGAATTATGGCTGCCTTTAATGTAGCATTCAAAGACGGTTGATTGTTCTGATAATCAAAGAGTTTATCCATGTCCATTGTAGTTCAATACATATACAGCCTACCGAGTCCATTGAACTTATCTGCTCATTTGTTGCCCTGCAGGGACCAAACAGATGTCTCATCAAGACTACTTGGAGAAAGCTGATAAAGCAAGGAGCCAAAGACTCTCATCTGGCTCTGCTAAGTGATCTTATACTGCATTTTTTTATGTAGGTTAATCAATAATATCCCAGTTAGACCACTTAATAGTCAGCGCTTAAAGGCGTGACAACTTTTTATTATATCTCCTTTTTCTTCCTCCGGCTTTTTATACGGCAGAGATGTTCTTCTTTCTTGTCTGTCTTAGTAATGTGGTCCATGTAGCATTTCTCATTGCTTTGTTTGTTTGCTGCTGAAATATGTTGTTCGAGAGTACTGTCCAAATGTCTACACTACACGTCGATATAAAACTTGGAACCTTTGTTGAAGGGGTTCAACTTCTTTCCTTTACCACTTCAATCCGCTGCCCCCTGCTGCTTCAAAACCACGCCGTTTTAAAGTTCTCGCCTCGGAATTAAATTGACAGCAGTGTGGAGCATAAAGACAAAGTTGGGAAAGAGTAATTATTTTATTTTATTTTTTATGTGAAGACGGAATAACATGAAATTGATAAATTAAAAATACATGTTCTTTTCATTGAAAAGTTAGCTCTTTTATCTGCCAAAAGTGATATATTTGTTTTATATAAAATTATCGCTTTAAATTTAAGGTTTAAGGTTTATTTAGTGTTTTTTTTATGTATTTAATCTCTTAAAATTTCTTATCAGTCGTCTAATATTATGAAGTTTTTTTTTTTAAGTGCTCAAACATCTTATACTACCTTCGGTTCTAATTATAAGAACCAGTTGACTAATTTGAGGAGATTAAAGAAGTAAGTTGAGTTAATTATTTGTCCTAAATAGGTGTTGTCTTTTTTAAAATATTTTTACTAATTAAGTATATTGACTAGAACTATTATTGTTAGAAGGGTTACTTTGAAAAAAAATATAAATATGAGAGACAAAGTGAATTGGGGTTTTATGTTTAGGACCAAAATAAAAATCAAACAAGATTTTATATTAAAGACCAGAGGTAGTAGTATTTTTTGGTGTTATTTTGTCCTTAAAGTATCAAGTTGTTAGGTGCATTTTAAGTTACTAGATGAGCTATAAAATACTCGAGTTAGATATATCTAGGAAAATACTTTGGGTATTAGATGAACAACAAAATACTTTGATGATAGACATACTTAGCATCATATGAATTTTAAACCTTTTTTTAATAGAATTTTAAATTGGAAAAATCCTAAAGAAATGACGGTTGAATTTCAAAATTCCAAATCAATATTGGTTATTACATTCATTAAAAAAATGACTACATTTGAAAAGCAAATGACAACACAGTTTTATAGTAACTCCTGATTTGAAATTTTGAAATTCAACAATTATTTTTTTGGGCCTTTCTCTTTTAAATTTATTGGTTGAATTATTTGAATTTACTTTTTTATTTTATATTTTATATTCGGAACGAAAATTTTCCACCTTTTTTCTGATTTGAAAAGGTCCCAATTAATTTGTTTATGAGAGTTTAAATTCTATCTCAAATTGTTAACCCCAAAAAAAATTAGAATATTGTTTATTTAATAATTTTCACGGTAAAAGTATTTTTAAAATTGTAGTTATTTAAAAAATTTAAATACTCACATAAATTTCTACTGAGGAAAAATTGATTAAAAAAAAAATCGCTCAGGTTGGTTTAAACACATACAAGAAACACCAAATGGGACACCAGAGAGGAAAATTGAACACCTGATGTCAATTTCTATGGAGGAAGAGAAAAGCCAAACACGTTCAAAAAAAAAGTTATCAAACACCACCTATCACATCTAGAGAGTTAATTGTTGATAGAATAATGTTGTTCATCTAGCCAATCAAACTTGATGCTTTGTTGTATACAACTCATTCCTCAAATGTATCCATCTAGCTTTCTTTAAGATAAAATACTCAAAATCCCTGGCCCAAAAAAAAACTCAAATTTAAAAACTTTCAGAGCAAGATTTAAATAAAATCATAAAGATAAAAATATAATGTTCTTCTATCATAAATATGATGCAGCAGTCATTTAACTTTTTTTTTTTTTGACCAAACAGCAGTCATTTAACTTTAGACATTAACAATTGTGAATTCAGGGGTAATGTCTTGTTCACTTGGTCAGTGTCACCCTTTCAAGCTTCAATAATTTACACGAATAAAATATATTGTTCCTTGACATAATATAGCACCCTGCCTAGCTGATGGATAGACATATCCAAATGAAGAAAATAAAGTATTTATTTGCTTTTTGAATTTCATTCATAGATATACAATAAGTCACTTGCTCACTCTGCTTCAATCAATTATTGATCAGATGAGAGTGACTTTCAACCTACCAAGACTATATGCAAACACCAACCACTCCATTCAACTTGATTCAACTTGAATTAGGAATCACACCAGCTACTGGATCCATATGATCGACCCGATTTGACTTGAATGAGCAAAATGCCAACCACCAAGTGCATCCAACCCGTTCGATCCGATCCGATTTGATTTGACTTCAATTAGTAAGGACACCAACCACTAGATACATCTTACCCGGCTTGAATTAGTTGAAGTTCAACATGGCTTCCGAAGATTAAGAGCCACCTAAGGGACGACAACAATATCAACAAATCTTATCTCACTAGGTGGGTTCGGCAGCCACGGCGTATGAAATGAAAATGATCAAATGTAGGGATTGATATGAGATGAGTAGTCACGGATTCCTGCTCCTTCCCATCCCATCCATTCTTCCCATAAATCCCAATCTGGATCGTTCATTCCTCTCGTTGATTCATCAATCCCTCCATCTTCATCATCACCATACATTTCACTTCCATTTGTTCCTCCTCTCAAATTTTCCATCACTACCTGCTTCCATGAATGTTTTCAACATCAGTTATTGATTTTCTTCAAATTCAGCCAACCAGAAATGACATGTTCAAATCATAAATTCGACCAATCATAATACCAGAGAGATGTATTAAAAAATGGCAGATCTGTTTCACTTAACCATTTCATCACTGTTTTTTGCCCCAATATTTTACTGTTTTTTCCCTATATCAGTTCCAACAGACAACAACTGCAAATTTGTTCAACAATCAGCTTCTATTCACTTTCTCAGCAGCTTCGTTTTTGACATGAATATAAAACCGCAGATTAGTGAAATCTGATGAATCTCTAGTGATTATGAATATATGCATAAACTGACTGATCTTGTATTCAATCTTATGGTTCTGCAATGAGCAATGAATCGTACATGCCATTGATGCAATATTGAATATTCAAGTCATTACAAAAAGTTATGGCAATCACTGAACAGCCATCGAAGTGGAGAAGGAGCTACTTCAGAAGCAGTAATTTTCATTTTTGTTTTCATATTCCATGTGGTGCAGAGGAATAATAAATACTCAATTCAACTACAGAATTAGAATTCATAGAAAGATGGGAATGTGATAACTCACATCATATGCCTCATTGATTTGGTGAAACTGTACCCCACAATTGCTTCCTCTGCAAACGTCCGGATGAAACTGATACACAATTTCAAATCAGCCAATCAATATTACAACTTTTTATAAATCCCAATAAAACCAAGCCCCACATATCGCTGGGACAAATAACTTTAAGCTCAACAAAGAACAATCCAGTTGGAAACCAAATATCAAACGTCACGTCTACATATAACAAAATCTCTAAACTTTGGAATAATAATTACGGCAGAAAGATTAAGGATCAAACCTGCAAAGCAAGCTGTCTAAAAGCTTTCTTAACCTCAGATTCAGAGGCACCAGGCTGGATTCTCAAGGTCTTATAAGGATCCATTACAGAAGAAGAACAACAAGAAGAAATCTTAACTCTGTTCAAACGTTTCTGCTTCTTTTCACTGTCCTTGAATTGAATCCAGGGAGAACATGACCTATTACCACCAACAACTCCGGCAACAGCAGCAGCCATTGTAACTCGGACAGAAATCTCAAATCTCCAAAATCAGGGAAAAACTCACAAATTCCCAGAAAAACCTTTGGCTATAAATAATAAAGCTATGATCTTTTCTGAAGGAAGATTTTATTTAGAATAGATCAAAGGCCACGCAAGTTGATTTGATCGAGATGGCGTGTTTGAACCCTAAAACGGGGCTTCTTTGAAAACTCAATAATTGAGGAGTGAATCAATGGATAAACAACAAACCCACTAGAATCTAAAGAGAAATGCGAGATATTAAATCAAAGTCGAGAAAATGTGTTGATACTTAAGAGATAAAGAACAAGACTGGACCCTTTATGCGCACATGGATAAAAATTGCTGACGAAGAGAGAGATTCGCGGGCTTTATCCGTTTTGCTTCATTAGTGGTCAGAATTGGACGCGGAAAACTGTTCTTCCGGTTTATTTTGGGGAATATTCTTGTTCGGCCAGAATTTACTGATTCAACCCCTTCAATTGTTTGGAATCCTTATCTGTTCGATAAATAACAAGACAGACAAAATTTGAGGCCGAGAGGGAAAAGATGAACAAAATTTAAGCAATCCTTCTAAATAAGTTGCATCTATATCTCTTTTTTTTTCCAATGATTTGAAATCAAAATAATACTTTCCGACCTTTATTATAAGTGCTAAATAACTAATTCTCAAATAACAAATAATTAGTTAAAAATAATAAATATATTAGAAATATATTTTTATTTTCAAATATGCTCATGTAATAAATAAGGGAAAAAAAGGATAGAGAATGTGAGAAAATGTTATAAGAGAGATTATGGCAAAAGAGAGAGAGAATGAATAATTAAAGGTAAAATTGAAAAAAAAAAATGTATTAAATGTTAAAACAAACACCAAAATTTATAAAATGGATCACACCCCTCTCCCAATTTGAAGCTTATATACCAGAGGGAGTATAATATTAACATATTGCATGTAAATGATTTTGTTAAATATGAATTAGTTGTTGATTCTATATATGTGTGTGTGCATATAATGTTCGTTAAATTTTTCAGTGGAAGTGCTCGGGATGCCATGCCATAATAAGTCAAATTTCAATCAAGGACATTGGTCTTTTTTTAACCAATACTCTTATAAAGTGTTTCAAATATTCCCAAGGAATATCTATCAATATAACTATGACAGCTAATGAATAGGAGCGTAAAACAGATGCATCGTCAATCACGTACATGAGCATTAAGTTCACAAAGAAACTAGGTGTGGGAAACATCACTGGGGCCAAATTTTTTCTTTTTAAAAACAAAAAAAAAAAAGAAAAAAAAAAACGACACAGATTAATGACCCCTAAAGTGATTAATCATCCGTGAAACTGCTCACGGTCATGCCCGCTGAATCATTTTTCCATTTCAGTATCCTGAATATCCAAGCTTATGTACAAAAGCAGAACTTTAGAACATACAATTCGCTCTTGAGAATCAACATCATGATTTCTAGATATGAAATGATTCCTCTTCCTTCTAGTGGCTGCTTCAACAGATTAATGGCTATCCGGCCTGACTCAGGCCTAGATTTCTTTTCCACTTAGATTCTGATAAACCTTTTATCAGGCTTGGACGGTTGAGCTAGATTGGTTGGTCTAAACTTCTTTCACCATTAGATGGTTGATTTAGACTCTCATCAGCCTTGCATAGTTGAGCAGATGATGGAGGGTTGTCTGTAACCGGATCATCTGGACTCGAAGGCTTGAACTGAACCAAGATCATGGTCATGTTGTCACATCCTTCGCCACCAGCCGTAGGCGATAAGCACCGATCAAATACTTTCTCGCAGACTGCAGAGAGTTTATTCTCCTACATAGAATGGGTAAACGTGTTACAACCAGACCATGAGATTTGTACTGTTTTAGTAGGTTTTCTTATCCAGAAAAATACAGCGTCCAGTGAAAAAAAAAAAACTCACCGTCTTCAGCTGTAAATGTATAAAATCCACAAGCTGTTGGCTTGACATGCAATCCCTACACAAACATCACGCCCAACGGTAAGGGTTATAGAAGAGGAAGGAGTATCCTATACCAGACTTAAGAGCTCCCTAGGTTATAATTATAAGAACTATTCTATTATCAGAAAAGAAAAGAGCAGCCATCTTGATTTCTTAAATATCCAAGAAACAAAAAGGCAGAATTCCCTGAGAAGAAATGTTCCTTAACGAAACAGGACATCAAAATCAGAAAAAAGGTTCAGAAAGTAATAGCTGCTAGATCATATGAGAAAGGACATTTTAATTGACTGTTGCTGTCACGACATTATGTTTAATGTGTACTGATAATTTTAGGTGGCTTGCAAAAATGGAAAAAGTTACAAGTACTGAAAATGGTTGTAAAAACATGTATATATCTATTATAGGCATATTGCTATGTAAATGAATTAGATACTGTCCATGGACAAAAGAAGAAATAAATACTGTCAACAGACTTTCTAGAGGACATTTCAGCAACCAAGTAGCTTACCATATCCCATCACACGCTATCACAAGAAACTCATCATCATCGCAAAGCTCAACCTATTGCAGAAAACGTTTTAAAAGTTTGAAGAGTAGAAAATTACAGAAGGAAAAGAAAGTTGTTAGATGACAATAGCAGAACAATATATTAATTCTATGAAATACGTATAATCTTAAATAATGAAATTCACTATTTTTGCTCAGATAAATATAACTTGTATCAATATAACATGACCAGAGGAGCATATCAAATACAATCATTCCATATCCATCAACCTGTTAATAAAGTATAGCACTATATACTTGCAGTACATACAGAAGTAATATCCGGATCAGCAGTGACAATCTGCTTTTCAGCAGGCAAAAACTTGTTTTGCTTAAATTCCATGTCTCCTGTAACAGAAGCAATTTCATACTACAGAAGTTAGGGAGAAAGATGAAATCTAATTGTAGATTAGGTAATAAAAGAGTTTCTCATTGTTTCCTTTGCATCAAGCATTGATAAATCATCATAAAAGGAATTTTGAATTACCAATTGCTCTGGCCAAGTTTAGACTTCCATTAACTCGCCCAACTTGTATGAAACCACCAGCTTTTAGAATCCTATCTCTCTCAACTTCAAGGTCAGGCTTGTGGTCTTTGGATAAATTATGCGCCTACGGATAAAATTTCATGAAAGAATCAGATAACGGAATTTTACCAAACAATAGCTATGTTGTAGGCACCAAGTCATAGACAACAAGTTAATTTACATGATTCAGCACAAACCAAATCAGATGTATTGGGGGAGAGCGAACAGGAGAAAAGGCAGTCTGGACTCTGAAGAAATATCTGATTTTGAAATCATTTCATGACATAACCATCAAGTGCAAATAAATTTCAATGAACACGCTTTTCCAAACTGTTGCAAAATGTAGTCATGACAAAGTTCAAAGTGAGCAAGTGCGAGCTGGACATTCTGCTGCTAATGGCTGGACAAAAATGTAAGTTGGATGTTCAGTTTTGTTGAATGGCTCTAGTTGGCATGGAGGAGTAGATGAAAATGGATCATGGCTTTTGAGCTCCTGCAGTATGCTGAGTGCTAGTCCTCCAGTGATTGCAGAGATTTTTGGAATAGCAAATTTGAGTTATGGTGGGAAAGAGGCTTACGCAAGGTTGAGATTTACATTGATTGTGCTGAAGCAATCAACTTATTTAAAAGAGATCAGTTGCTCCACCAACCTTTTAAGGATATCATCAATTATACAGGAAATATTATCCACACAGACTGGAATATTTCTGTAATGTTTTGTATAGGGAATCCAATTGCATTGCTGATCGTCTGGCTAAAAAAGAAAATGGTATGCCAAATTCTTCTGGAGTCTTTGATCAGCCACCACCTTTTATTAATGAGGTGGATAATGATGACGATGAGATGTTTTATCTTCTTGGTTTCGTTTTGTATCCTATGTACTGATTGTTTTTTAGCTACAATAGTATTCAGCGTTCATTTTTATTTTTAAGAAAAAATGTTGTAAAATTATATGTGCATGAAAAATAGTGAATTAACTTGCAATTTATGGCAACTAAAAACAAATTGTACACAGCAAATTGGCTACCTTTCTGACTTTCTTATTCTTTATATATCTGGTTTCTTCTCCTTACTCTTTATATCCTCTTTCCAAATTAGTACACTCATCAACACCTATTAAAGCATGCATACTTTTTAATATATCATGCACCTATGTCCTCTGTATCCAATAATGCATGCAAATTAGAAATAAAGTAAGAAAAAGAAATTCTCAACAAGGGGAGGCAGTACCTGGCCCTTCCTTGATATTACACAGCGAGAATCACCAGCATTTGCAACTACAAGTTGGTTGCCTTGAATGACTGCCACACAAGCTGTGCATCCAGAGCTTGGTCCCGTAAAATCAGAATGCGGTCCCTGTTTTGTATCATTGTACACCCTCAGTTTCAACAGCAAATATTTATGCACTGGGGATCAAGAGGGAATATGCCCAACATGACAACACAATTTTTTTTTTTTTTTGGAAACAGCTGATAAAGATACCCAGTCTACAAAATCATTCTAAAAGTAAATTGCTGTCAAATTGCCACATAACATACAAACTATCAACTTATAAATGCATAAAGCTCCACACCCATATGATAGACATTTAGAAAACGCTGGAAACAAGCACAGACATCAAAATATTACGACACCAAATCCGCAGAGAACCAAATGATTTAAGGAGCACTGGTGGCAATTGGAAATAAATTAGATATTTTTTAGTTTGCTTAGTAAGCAACTCCAACAAAGATGGTCCTGCAAATAACCAAAATGAAATATTAAAATCAAGAGACACTAATCTGTCAACTTCAAACTAAAATGGTTTCAATTCTAGAAATTTTTTCATTCGTCTAAAAATATTTTTAAAAAATGCCAGAGTGCTCTGAAAAAAAGTGGTTGACAATCCATTCATGGTTACATATGATAAAACATGGAGCAGATTATTGAAATTTCCAATCCAAAAGTTTATATGCTTAAATGCCATGTTTTTGGGACTAAAATCTTCCCAAAACTGCATGTCCAATAACAGAATAAGTAAATCAAAAAATTAAGGAAAAGAAGAAGTTGCTCAAGTAAAACAAATGCAGTCATTATTTGTTACCTCCTCAAGAACCCAGTCATCAGAATGGTCATTGCCGTCACCGCCCCTTGGAGACCATATAAAGCCCTCTAGCATACCAGACAACTTTTCTATATTATCTCCCAAGACAGCTAACTCTCTCCACCCTCTTTGTCCACGCATCATCTCATCCATTCTGGTTCAGTAGGAAGAAAATGATACATGTGAGTGATAGAGACCAAAACAGAGAGCTAAGAATTCTTTTTCAAAAAAGAATAGCTCTTACAAAGAGCAGGAGAATAAGAAACTCCCTATTATTTGAGATGCTAGAAACCCTACACTGTCCGAGAATTTACCCATACCTCTTCTCAACTTCCCCAAAACTCTATGTGACAGATATAACTGCAACCATTGCCCTACCTAAAACTATCCAAAACTGTTATGCAACACTGCAACAGCCTTACAGTTACCAGTCCGCTGCCAAAGCAAGCTGGCACAAGTGGTTGTAAGATCCCAAATATCATTTACATATTTACATCTCCCCTTGCGTGTGGGTTCAAATCCCCCCATAACAGCTCAAATCTTGCATTGGCAGCAAATCTAGATTCGGAGATCACCTACCACCCAAGGGCCAATGAGTCTTTGTGTGGAGCCCTGCCGGTGGTATAGGAGTGTCATCCCTAATATTTATCTTTCCCATGGGGGGGGGGGGGGACCAATCTGCTGCCAAAGCTGTTCATAAACCACCCAAAATAGCTCCAAAATGCTGGGCCCATTGGTAAGGAAAAATGTGCAACATTTGATTTGACTAAAGTATCTACGTCTGCAATTCATAACCGTATCCCCATTCCAATCATTGCAAGTGCTTTGTAAATTTACGATCTATCAAAATTCTAAATGTGCAACTAGGTTTACCTACGGAGAAAAGAAACCCAAGCAAATTATAAACTCCATTGTTTGATAGAAACCACAATTAAAAGTTCAGATAGATCCTTTTATCAAAGAAGAATCAGATCCAACTGCCTCAAAAATATCATCTAGAAGGCTCTTCACATTCAAGGAGAGACATGTAAATTCAATTTCTTAAGAAATTATTTGTATAATACTGATGTTAATTTGTACATTCTACACGTAGTATTTGAGTATGAATAATTGACAAATTTGGAAATAATGGAGCTATACTTTTAAACTTTTACGTAGTATCTATTGAGTATAATGTCAGCTTACATTTTTATTTGCATCGTTAACAATTTTTATAAGCTCTTTGATCTGTTTTGAAACATCTTGAGAGGGGGGAGGCGGTAACAAATGTATAGATGTTGTTACACATACCACGAAGTATAAGGTGCAACATAACAGATCATCACGGAAAACAGCGGAACACAATATGATGAGAGTTCAGCCTAGGTCTAGTTAGTAAAAGGCAACTACCTCATGATGCCATCCTTGGGATTTTATAATTAAAGAAAAGAAGTATCGAATATTAACGTAGATCATAAACAAAACACAAAGTTTAAATAATAACCTGAGAAAAGTTTTCTGCAAAGATGTGCCTATATCTCCAGCTACATAAGCTTCATTCTTAAGCACCTGTCGGTGCAGATATTTGGCACAAAATTTAGCAACAGCTTTACCTGAAAAGCAAGAGATTGTACAGAAGACCTCAAAATCATATAGTGGACATAAGTGTGCCGGGCATGTCAACCTACCAAACTAAGCATTTTAGAAAGCTATAATCACTAATCAACAGTAATGGAATCTGAATTCTGAAAATAATTCATAGCAGACAAAGCATACAAAAAATACGGGAAAATGTTTCTTTATTGTTTTCTTTTCATTTAGATTTCTGCTATACAAAATCCAAAACGTGAACCGAAGGCCCCCAGGTTTACTGATACTCAATCAGACCTCAGATGATTAAGAGCGTTATGACACTGTGTGATACAAAGAGGCTGCAAGAATCTCACTTGTCAAAAGTGAAATTACATTAGAGTTAGAATTATAGAAACCAAAATAGCACTGTCTCTGCAAGGAAACTCTTTGAAAAGGATAATTAAATTATCAATTTCTTGCAGAATAAATTCACAAGCACAAAAGAATGGTAGAAGGCAGCCATATTCAGGTGAAGTATTTAAAAATCCAAAATCCCCCCTCCCACTGGCAGTATGAATCCATTCAATAAAGAATGAAAAGATCAATTTTCATGCCGAATCAAGCATTTGATACTCCTCCCTTGAGGCAGCCAGCTTGCTATGCGATGAAAAAGATTTCCTATTTATAGGGGACATAAGCAGCTCCAAATTATAAGAGAAAGGTCTAAATAATTAAAATCACTTCCACTTAAAACAAAATTAATGATAAAAAATAAAATATACTACCTCTGGGCCCATTTATAAGAAAACTATAAATTGTTTCTCATAAATAGGGCTGGAGATAGCATTTGGTAATGCTGAAAAAAACCTCCCCCAAAAAGTACACAGCCTTCTAAAACTGATACATTGAAACATTGAATAATTTAAAAAGGATAATATTTTTTATCATTTAACAACCACTGTTAAAAAAATCATAATGAACATACTGACCTCCATGGCCGTCATAAACACCAAAGAAAGATGTTGATTCGTCCAAATTTAGATGGGCTGCATGCTGGCAAGCAATATAAAAGAAGAAAATTTTATATGCACCATCTAATAGATTGTAATTTTGTAATATAACATTAGACTACTGATTTAGCATTGAACCGAGGTATTTACAGACTATCAACATCATGCCTATGCAAGATTCAATTCAAATGAGAGGCATTTTCAAGTAAGCACATGTAAAAAATGTGGAACATTTTATACAGTATCACGTTTGTAGCAGTAGTTGATTACTAATATGCAACTAAGATGCGGTCCTTTTGCTCTGTTAACCACACGTTGTAATGATGGAAAAATTTATATGCAAGTTCATAAAACAAACATAAAATCTCATATCTTTTACAAACTTTCCGATGCAATTAATGAAACAGCAAATCAGAAAACTTCTAATCACGAGGAGTTTAATTAGATTTAAAAGAAAAAATGTGTTTAAAACTTTTAAACCAAATCCTGTAAATAAGTATTTTGAACGGGTCAAAAAGACATATCTGATCAAGTATATTGCAAGCTCATTAAATGCCATATAAAAACCCTTCTCAATAGTCAATACAGTTAACAAATCACTCAAAAAACTTACTCTAAGCAGACAACCTATCTCGAAAATGTATTTACTTTTACCAACAATATATTGTTATATTATAAGAATCATTTTAATAGTACAAGATTGTGTAAATTATAAATGAACCGATTTATTGAGTTATGTAATTAGAATTATAAATCCCAATGATATCATTTAAATCCTATTTATCCTATTTATATCATATTTAAATATTTTCTTATTTATAATTATAAATACATAACATATTGAGCCTATCTTATCAGATCTTCATATATACCTTATCAGATCATAAGTTTCATATATCACAGTGCCTTTAATGCACGAGATGAAAACAGAACACCAACAAAAAATCACAGCAAGGACCAGTTAACTGGTAGGATCCAGGTGCACGATCAAAGGATCGGTGATAGTAGCCAAGCTAGAACAACCTATCTGACTCCAATTTTATCTTACCAGGAAAAAAATAATTTTTCACAATTTTCTAGCAAGTTCAGATTAATACTATTTCAGCCACAATGAATTAAATTGTCAATCGACCTCAGGATTTTCCTTTTCTTCTCCACTTGATTACTAGCTCACGGGTAAGACAGGTTCTAAACCCACTATACTTTCTCCATGAACTTGATTTATGTTCAAGAAAAGGAAAATCCAAACTCATAATCGAGGCAGTTAACAATTGAACATTACCATATGATATACCATGTCAAAAGGGCGGACAAGAAGCAATGGAGCATGCAGTTACGCGTTGAAAACAAAAACACATTCTCATACAGAAATAGCAACTGATATTTCATGAAATTAAACGAGTCAAGGGAGTGCTTACAGCATCTTCCATGGTAGCACGCCACCCCTGCATGGAAGACAAACCGTAGCGAAGCCTGTCATTCTCACCATCATCAGAAGCCTTATCTGTTTTCGGGGCGCTGAGGTAAATTCCCATCTTTAACTGCAACCAAAACGGAGTAAGTGAGTAACAAGGAATTAAACGCAGACTCAGCAAGAAGACTACTATGGATCCGCTCTGCTTTATTTTTCTGTTTAAAACAACAACAAAAGAAATTCCAGTGACCCAATAATCAAGCAGCGACTTAATTGCCAATCACTTGTTCAAATCAAACCAAGCAATCCTATATCCAAGATATCTAAAGCCTCAGAATCTCAAAAAAAGATTTGTCCACAAAAGAAAACAAAGGAAACGAATAGGCATTATACAGGAAATATAAATGTCAGAAGATCAATTCCAGCATCCAATCCATAAAAAAATCGAACTTCAGAACGCCAATGACTGAAATCACCATGTACAAACAAAGAAAGCTTTCACAATAAATCAAAATGAAAAAGGGGAAAAGCACAATTAAGAGTTCTAGGGTTCTAAGAAGAGAAGCGAGTAGGCATACAGAGTAAGCGATCTATCTTTCAGGTGAAAAGATGAAACAAAATGAATGATCCCAAACAGTTTCAGTTGCTCTGTCTCTGACGTCGGAGAAGTAGTTTTGTGCTAAACCAGCGGCTCCCACGCGCCGTGCACGTGCCCCTTTTTTTTGGGTCCCAAAAAGAAGTCATTTTCTTCATAAATATCCTATCCAAAACTTCTCTCCCTCTTTTTTTTTTTTGAGATAAAAAATTTCTCGTTCGTGCAACGGAAGGCAGTAAAACATTAGTAATAAACACGGAATGGCTAGAAATATTATATACCCTCCCCCCATTCTTTTTTGGTCAAAGTACCCTCCCCCCATTCTAAAAGTAAGAATTAGATCCCTGGTCAAAAAAAAAAAAAAAGAAGTAAGAATTAGATAGTTAATCTATAGATATTTAAAATTTAGTTAACTTAATCATTTATAATAAATATGTGTTACTTTTTGGCTAAACTATACTTTTAATCTTTTAATTTTACACAAGGTTTCATTTTGATATCTTAATTTTAAAAAATAAACTTTCAATATCTAATCCCAAAAACGTCAACAAAAAAGATAATATTAAATTCTTGAATGTTAATAAAATATTATTAAATACTAATATATTAAGTTTAATTTTTAAAACAACTATGATTGTCACATAAAAATCATTTAAGGCTAACAATTTGTGGGTTAAAGGACTAAAAGTATACTTTTTAAAGTTAAGAGATCAAATTAAAACCTTACATAAAATTAAAGGACCAAATGTATACTTTAGCTGTCAATTTTTTGAAAATATTTTGTTTAATTATTGCGCTAATGAAAATTTTTTTAATATATATAATTAGTAAGAATTATTTTAAAAAATTATAAACTTAAAAAAAATGATATGCTACTTGTGATCCTTAATATAAGAATTAGTTAACTAACTTAGTGGATTAAAAAAATTAGTTATGTTAGCTATTTTGTAATAAATATGTGTTCTTTTTTCTCAAATACCCTTGCTAATAATGTGTATAAGTTAAAACTATTATTTGTTGATATACTTAACATGTGCAACTACTACAAAAATTACTTTGAAAAAAAATAGATAAATATGAAAAAAAAATTGAATTAAGATTTTATATTAAAGATATAAATTAAGGTCTTGTATTAAAGATATAGATGTTATATTAAGAAGTAGAAGTAGTATATTTTCGTATGGAAAGGGTGAAGATCATTAGCAACTTTTGTATTTTAAAGCTATGCTTGCTAGCTTAATTCAAAAATAATACGCTGCCACATCATTTTGTCTATATGAAGTTTGATAGTGCCCAGCACGACAGCTATTTGAGTTTTGACGTCAATTTTTATATTAAAGCATCATTTAAAGATAAGTCCTGCGTCCTGTCCTAAACGCATAAGATTTAGTTTGTATCATGAAAGAGTACAACCGGTGAACCAAAACCCCAACATGGATGCTCGTAATAATTTGAACCATTCAGGTTAATTTTGAAAGGTCTAGATTTAATTTAAGCTTTTTTATATTTTAAATAATTTTTATTTTAATAAATACATAATTTAAAATAAATATCATATTATAACTGACATTTTTTTAAAAAAAACAGAGAGATAAATTTACTATTAGAAAAATGTATATTAAAAATATTAATTATAAACCGTTCAAATGAAATTTCCATCACTGCCATGAATATATGATACTCATAGTTGTGATGAGCACGAAATAAAAACCTTATAAAGTAATCCTCTGGTTATTAATATAAGACTAATTTAACTAATTTAATTATATTAAGAAAGTTAGATAAGTTAGTTAATTATAAGAAATGTGACATGTTTTTTTCTAAAATACCATGATCATCTTTTTTAATACCCTCTCTTCCTTTTCTACTTAATTATGATTGAAAGAGTATTCATTAAGATAATTTAGAGAAAATTGATAAATAGGTCTTATATTTAAGACTAAAATCAACTTAACAATTGAGTCATATATTAAGGATCGGAGGAGTAGCTAAGATGTCAGAATGATTTCATCTTGAGCTTCTCACTCTCTTATTTGAGTTTCACTAGTATATATCAAACTATAATCATGATGGGAATATATTTCATGCTCATAAATAAAATTTTAAAAAGGTAAATTTATCATTAAAAATGCGGATCAAAAATTTTATGTGGACTCTTTATATTAAATTTTGGATAGTCTAAATTTATTTAATTTATTGTGAACACTGACAGAGGACCAGGATCTTCTCTTCAAATCTTAATCACTTTTCATCAAAAACAACATGAAACATACTTAGGACTCAGGCGCAATTATCAAGAATCCAATATGGCTTCTTATTTTTCTTTCAACTTAAAGTCACTTTCCATGCATCAAACATCTTCACTCTCTTATTTGAGTTTCACTAGTATATATCAAACTATAATCATGATGGGAATATATTTCATGCTCATAAATAAAATTTTAAAAAGGTAAATTTATCATTAAAAATGCGGATCAAAAATTTTATGTGGACTCTTTATATTAAATTTTGGATAGTCTAAATTTATTTAATTTATTGTGAACACTGACAGAGGACCAGGATCTTCTCTTCAAATCTTAATCACTTTTCATCAAAAACAACATGAAACATACTTAGGACTCAGGCGCAATTATCAAGAATCCAATATGGCTTCTTATTTTTCTTTCAACTTAAAGTCACTTTCCATGCATCAAACATCTTCACTCTCTTATTTGAGTTTCACTAGTATATATCAAACTATAATCATGATGGGAATATATTTCATGCTCATAAATAAAATTTTAAAAAGGTAAATTTATCATTAAAAATGCGGATCAAAAATTTTATGTGGACTCTTTATATTAAATTTTGGATAGTCTAAATTTATTTAATTTATTGTGAACACTGACAGAGGACCAGGATCTTCTCTTCAAATCTTAATCACTTTTCATCAAAAACAACATGAAACATACTTAGGACTCAGGCGCAATTATCAAGAATCCAATATGGCTTCTTATTTTTCTTTCAACTTAAAGTCACTTTCCATGCATCAAACATCTTGTGTGGAATTCTTCTCACCCAATGTGAGTCACATAGAACAAAGACGGATCTGCCAAGTTAGTAAATTCAAAGCTGTAGAGGACCTGGGACGCTATCTTGGAGCTCAAATATCTAGCCCAAGGAAGAGGAGGGAGAAATACACTCATATAGTTGAGAGAGTCAGGAAGAGGTTGAGTGGTTGGGAGGCAGCGAGCCTCTCTCTTGCGGGTAGAATAACACTGATCAAATCAGTAACTAGCCCCATGACTCTGTACCCCATGCAACACGACCGGTTACCAAGAGGAATCACAGAGGAGGTTGAGAAAATGCAAAGAAAATTCCTTTGGGGTGACACAGAGGAGAAAAGGAGAAGGCATGTAGTAGCATGGGAGAAGCTTTGCAGACCCAAGCATGAAGGAGGAATTGGACTCAAATCCCTGCAAGGCATGAACGACGCGTTTCTTCTTAAACTTCTATGGAGAATGCACGACAATCCAAATGACTTATGGGTGCAAGTTCTATTCGGAAAGTATGGCAGATCCAGGATCGAGAGAAGAGAGATGGAGGCTAAGGCAGGAGATTCCAAACTATGGAAAGAAATTGTTAAGATGCAAGAACAGTTTCATGTAAATCTAGAGCGTGAAGTTAGAAATGGTGCAAGCACACTGTTTTGGAAAGATAGGTGGCTACCAAATGAAGACTGTCTTATCAAGTATATCCCAGAAGAAGTGGAAATCAATGAGCAACTCCTAGTGAAAGATATGATTGATGAATATGGAGAGTGGAAGATAACAAGTTTTGAACATTTACTTCCTGAGCATATAATCCTGAAAATATGCTCAACCTCCGTTATAGCAGATATGGAGGATAAAGATACGCTCAGATGGAAACTGAATGAACGAGGAAGCTTCACCACTGCTAGTACCTATGCATGGCTTCAAAATACGCCACGGGCACACTCAAAGAATATATGGGACTGTGTTTGGAAACTAAAAGTTCCTGAACGAATAAGGGTCTTCTGTTGGATGATGATCCACCAATGCCTACCTACAAAGAAGCTCACAAGCAAATGGGATGGAAGTCCAGGCTTCTGTGAATTTTGTCAAGCAAGGATAGAGGATCAACTTCACGTGCTAAGAGACTGTCCATCAACTAGATTAGTTTGGCAAAAACTACTCTCAAGAGATAGACAAAGAACTTTCTTCAGCATGAGCTGGACTGAATGGATCATTCAGAACATGACAAGTAGAGGAATGATAAGACAAGAGGAGAAATGGGCAGAGCTATTTGCCACAAGTTGCTGGCATCTGTGGAAATGGCGAAACCAACAAACTCACGATCCGACATTTGAGCGGCCTACTCAACCTGAAAGAGTCATCTTGCAACACGTAAACAACTATAGACAACAACACATGACAGACCCTTTCAGCAGGATGGAAACAACAGAAATACAACTGAGATGGAACCCACCAGCTTCGACGTGGTGCAAATTGAATACAGATGGAAGTGTAAACAGAAGAGGCGAGGCAGGGTGTGCTGGAGTAGTCAGAGGTGATGGAGGAGAATGGCTGGGTGGATTCGCTAAGCGACTTGGCAACTGTGATATCATAAAAGCAGAAACGTGGGGAATTCTTGAGGGGCTTCAGATGTGCTGGAGAATGGGCTTTAGGAAGATTGAGATAGAGTGTGATGCAGAAATAGTGGTGGAATGCATCAAACAGCAAAAAGAAATCCCAGGCTGCTATGCACTGTCACAGAGGATCTATACCATGATGCGGGAAGATTGGAGATTATCCTTCAAACATGTTTACCGTGAGTGCAATAGGTGTGCAGATAGTTTGGCTAGATTAAGCATACAACAACACGTAAGAGACGCTTTTTGGCAAGCAC